AAACCATTTACAATCTATACAATAAATGATTATATTGTTGAAATGTAGGGGCCTTTCTATGCAAATCAAAATGACGTTGGAATGATGAAGATACTCCTGGATGATCCGAATGGACTCTCAAAAATCATAAAAGCAGGTGATATTTGTGTGGTCGATAGAGGATTCCGAGATGTTGTGGAGCAGCTGGAAGAACGAGGATTCAAAGTTTTCATGCCAGCATTGAAAGGAAAAAGATCACAGCTAACAACTGAAGAATCCAACGATTCACGATGGGTGACTAAAATTCGCTGGGTTGTTAAAGCAATTCATGGAATCCTTGGACAGAAATATCAACTACTGCATCACACTCTAGATAATAAATTGCTCCCAAAAGTCCGATTCTTTTCAGGATTGCTTGTTTTCTCAACAATACTATTGGCAAAAGGCTGAGCTCTGATACTGGTCTGTCAGATGAAGTCATTGAGCAAATGCAAGCTAGGCGGAGAGTGGACAATTCTCTAGCAGAAGAAGCTGCGAACATGCACTGGAATCGCCGAAAAACTCAGTTTCAACAGTTGACATCAGCAGATTTGTTAGATTTCTCAGAGATGGCAGAGAGAGATTTGAAGATTTTTTTTAATGGATCATACCAACTTTCACAAGCTTTATCTTACCTAGCTGAGATGATGGATGAATCGGGTAATATTACACAATTGATTACTTGAAGAAACGAGAAGATCAGAGCAGCACAATTATTCAAATTCTAGTGAGGTCCAGATACATTAATAGTAAAACTTACAAGTGGTATATTGAATATAAGGGTGACTCAATCAACTATACGGGTATTCAACGATATTTGTGCGAATGGACGGCGTACTGTCGGATGTTGTTCACATGTGGCTGCGGTTATTTATTATTTGTCGAATGCACGGTACCTTTCGAAAATAATAAGGCCTGCAGAAATCCTCACGAAACTTTTCGATGTCGAACAAGTGGATCGAGTCATCAATAAAGACAGCGATGAAGATTGAGTCATACAGAGTGTATATAAATCGATGTAAATTCTTGTATATTCGTGTGATTTCCGTTATTCTTGTATATAATTGATAAAATATTATTTTCATGTCCTGTGACGATTCTACATGTAATTTTGCGAATTATAAAGAATACGGAATGAATTATGACGATTTATCGAACGATTTCAATTAAAAATACTCAAAAAATTGTATTTTCATTTTTTTCCCAAGACCCAGTCTTCCGAAAAATCTGAAAAATTAATGTTGTGAAAAACTAGTTAATAAAGTATGATAATTTTTTTCATCGAATTCATCATGAAACATTTTTTCTGTCGAATCGATAATGAATGGCCTATCTTTCTAGATTTTTCAGAATTTTTTCAGAATTTTGTATCAATATTTACCGTTAGAAAAGCCGAAAACCAAAAAAATAAGTTTTCCTCCGTGATGCTCATTTTGAGGCTTTTTTCAGCCTATTTTTGTACGGTAAGATGGCGTTTGCAGTCTGTTAAAACCACTTTAATCGGACTGCCGTAACTGCTCAGTCTGAAGTGGAGCCTTTTCTCAGACTGAACACAGCGTGAAGTGAGCCGAGTATGGCTATCTCACGATCTCACGTGATACTATTGCGTCAACCATTTCTATAGTCGTGCGAGCATAGACGAGAGCTGGAAATGTCAAAAGTGAAAAGATGGAGTCGAAAAAATGCGTAATTATTCCAGACAGTGATGGAGAAGGAGAAGAATCTCAGGATATGTTCGAAGAGGAACCCAGTTGTACTTCGATGTCGAGTGTATCAGTGAATTTGAGTTCAGTGATAACCTCCCTGATGATAACCTCCTTGACAACAACAACGTCCCGCAGGACGTTCTTGATAACGCTCGTGAGGCTGAATCTCATACAATTCGACAACAATCAGTGGATGAACACCCGTTGTATTTTACAAATAGCCACAATACCCCCCTGACAACAGCATCCCGCAGGATGTGTTGTTGCGTTGCTTCCGTATACTTTTGTCGATTTTTTCTTCAGAGAAAAAATTTACTTTGTTTTTAAATTCCAGAAATGTTATCTTTTTATTTATTCACTTTTTCTACGGAACATCATTTCTGTTTTTTAATTTTTGAAAATATTGTTGATTTTGTTTTTTTTCAGGGGGGGGGCTCCGCGCCCCCCCCCCACATACGCATATGAGAATGGGCATTCGTGAGGAAAAATAGTATGTCATTCGTTTGAAGTCCTCGGATTTCAGCCTTATGACATAAGATACTATTTTCGCTTCTAACTCCATTCTGAAACAAGAAAAAAATCTGAAATTTTGTGAGAAGCCATCTTCTTTTATAACTAGTCAGAGGAAAATTTGTACCCCCAAAAACAGGTGGGGGCATTTTCTCCGAGCTTATCCGGCTAGGCCCTTTTGGTTACAATGAACTCATTTTTTATGGATTTTAGGAAATGTTAATTCTGAAAAATAACAAAATACGATAAAATACCCGGCCATAAAAAAATCCTGTTTGCTTATCTTCCCATAAGAAAAAGATGACTTTGAATTAATCGAAATTGTGATGGTTACTTGTATACAATTTAAAAAAAAGATAGGAGAAATTTTCTGGATTGGAAAAAATCGTGATAGAAACCATGATCTCTCGAATTCTGGAAATTTTTCCGTGCAACAAGGAATAATTTTTCTCTGTAATCTTATCTTCGTGCAGAGTAGCATAATTCTGTGTGGGAAACAATTCATGACAGTACAAGATTGCAGTGAAAATTTGCTGTGAACAATTTGTACTTCTTGGCTCTTAGATCAGTTATTGGCACGTGTTACATATTATAAATTTTCTATTGTACAATAGACATAATATTTTGCTATGAGACTTTGTCCACAGAAGTTGTTGCATTTATTTTTGTCGATCAACATCCCTTTTGGCATTCCATTGATTTCGTTAATACATATATTAGGTGTACAAATGAATAAGGTGCCCCTATATTTCGCGGTTTATAATTGCGTTCAAAAAATTAATATTTCAATATTTTGTATGTTGGTATTATTCAGTTACCGAAGCAGTAAATACTTCTTACATAACCTTAAAAAATAGTAGTAAACACGATGTCTGTCGATAAGCAACATTTGAGGCACTGCATTCTTTTTGCATTTCAATTAAAGAAAAATGTTGCCGAGGCTACTTAAATGATTTGTAGTACTCTTGGAAAAAACGCTGTAACACATAAAACGTGTAAAAAGTGGTACCAGAGGTTTAGAGACGGAGATTTCGATCTTTCGGATCGAGAACGGCCGGGTTAACTGGAAAAATTCGGCAATGAAGAACTCGAACAACTCTTGGCTGAAAATTCTGCTCAAAGCCAAACAGAGCTTGCACTACAACTCAGAGTAACTCAACAATGCATTTCTCATCGCCTACATCAACTTGGCAAAATTCGAAAGGAGGGTAGATGGGTTCCTGATGATCTGAGCCCCGAAAATAAGGAGCGACGACTGGAGACGGCGCTATTTTTGTTCACTTGATTTAAAAGAAAAGATTTTTTATACAAAATCATTACGGGCGATGAAAAGTGGGTGTTATACGACAACCCTAAATGCAAAAAATTGTGGGTGAATCCCGGCAAACCATCGACGTCGACTCCGAAACCCAATGTCTATGCGAGAAAAGTGATGTTGAGTATCTGGTGGGATATGAAGGGTGTGATATATTATGAGCTACTTAAACCTGGACAAACTGTTACTGCGAAGGTTTATCAACACTAGTTTATTCATTTGAATGATGCATTGGAGCAAAAGGGGCCATATACTGGCAGCGGAAGTAGACAAGTGATTCTCCAATATGACAACGCTCGACCGCATGTCGCCAAAGCGACTAAGGATATTATCTATGAATTAGGATTGGAGGTTCTCCCTCACGCGACTTACTGATCTCGCCCCATCCGACTACCACTCATTTCGCTCTCTTCAACACCACCTAGCTGATGAGTACTTCAAAAGAATCGACGAGGTCCGAAAAAGCATCGATGAATTTATTGAGTCAAAACCGCCAAATTTCTTTCGCGAAGGAATTCAATTGCCAGTGAGGTGGAGTAAAGTCATCGAAAATAATGGGGAATATTTCGCGCGTTAAATGTCTTTGTTTTTTTATAATATTCTCTGATTTTCATTAAAAAAACACCTTATTAATTTGTGCACCTAATATTTGAAATACAACAGAATAAAGATTATGTCCACTATAACCTTTTTCACAGTTTTCGGCGGAAATTCGCGATACACTTCCTGAAACTTGTCATCAAGTGACAGTTCCACTGAAATTTTACGAAATTTCTCCATTGAAAATTCACAATTCAATTAAAAAAACAACGGAGACAGTGAATCTCAGTTCAGTCATTCCATGAAAATCAATGGAAATGAAGGCAATTCAGGTGATACATTCTCAAATTTTCAATTAATTTTGATAGAAAATATTCATATTTTCATTGAACATTCAAGTTCGTGAATTTTTGTCTTCCCGCTGTTTGAAAATTTAGAATTTCATTGAATATTCTGTGAAATCAGAAAATTCATAATTTTTCCACCCAACATAGAATTTAATGTATTCCACAGAAAATTGCTACATACTAAACTTTCTGAGAAATTTCAATTTTTTTCTGACAATGTATATTCGAATTTCTGCATGAGATACTTCAGACACAATAGGCATCTATTGTCCATCTATCACATTGAAATATCTTATACTGAGATAGGAAGCGGTTATCGTGACGTGAAAATGCAACAACTTGAAATTAGACGGAGTCTTATTATAAAACGCCGCGCGCCCTACAACGGTAAAAATTAATTGTGCCTAAAAAGTTATTCAGTCCAAAAAATTTGTATGGGTGATGAAGTATACCAAATTTTTCAAGTAACAAAAATTTGTTTTGTTAATTTTTCACGATTTTGATTTGTGGTTTATTTGTTTCAAAAAATATGAATTAGTGTTTAATTTGATATTTGTTTCTTACCGCTTATGTGGCCCCAAGGTACAGGAATTTGAATCTCCTCTGGTTCTGAAAAAAATTATTAATTATTGCGGAAGGCAGGTAGGATAGAATCCGACATCCTGAAACAGTAACGGGAAAATTCGAAACTCATTAGTTTTGAAGCGTGAGATGAGCGCATTGATCATGAATGTCAAATGATTTTAAGCCTCTAAGGGTACACATCCTGTGGGTTCCTATTACGTCTAGAAAAAAAACATCCTTACTTTGAGATTTTAAAGATCGTAAATTGAGACTTTCGAAAGTTTCAGCTTAAGACTTTCGAAAGGATCAAATAAAGATTTGCAAGTTTCAATGAGCCTTGAAAATCTTCATTTAATCCTTCTGAAAGTTTAAAGTTGAGACTTTCCAAAGTTCCAATTTGAAGACTTGAAAATCTCTATTTCTGAAAGTTTGACTTTCAAATTTCAACGTGAGACATTCAAAAGTCTCAATTTGAGACTTCCATAAGTTTCAATTTGAGATCATAAGTTTCAAATTCAAATTTGTTTTTTTTTGTGTATTGATACACTGACACCGCCGTCGCTACATTCACGTTCCATTAGCAACGCAACATCGGAATGTCACATCTTCGTGATATCCTCTCCGGAAAATATTTATATCCGTAGAATTGGAATTCGGGCTATTCAATTCAGCGAAAAATGTCAAAAATCCGATAAAATGATGTACCCATATGTACACCTAAGTAGGGTTGCCAGATGGGGCTATTTATAGCCAAATGGGCTATTTGAGATGCATTTTGGCGGCGAAATTTTTGTTCCGGGCTATAACCCGATAAGTAGGGTATATGCTGGTGGCATGATTTTTTTTAAATATAATATACTGTAGGAATGGGGAAAGAGTTCCACTCGGAATTGTAGGCACGAGGGTCACAAGGGAACGGTTAAATTTCACGAGTCAAACAACAACCAAGTCACACCCCGAGTCAAAATTTTACCGGGTCTCCCAACGTAGTTTCAACGTTTTGAACCTACATTGCTTTGATGGTCAAATTCTCCGCGGAATTTTTACTGTACTTTTAACTTATCTCAACGTGAAGGCCTATGGACGTTGAAAAACACTCAATATCCACCCTATATTAAATGTACTCTCAACGTTAATGACGTTTGTTCTCTGTTAACGTACGTTGTACGTTTCGACGTCCACATTTGATTGTTCAAGGTCATTATTGACGATAATTAAAAAATTCATTACCGTGTTAAAGACTCACGTAACTAAATTATTAGTGTTAATACATTAATAACATTAGTTCGAAATTCAAACAATCGTGCGTCTGAAGGGTGAGTTGGGTTCAATGGTCAGAAGGGTTAGTTGAATATAAGGATCAATTGAGCATAAGGGTCAGATGAGTATAAGGGTGAGTTGCGTCCAAAAGATTACGCGAATCTAAGGGTTAGATATGTGAAAGCCTCAGTTGAGATTGAATGTCAGTTGAGTTTAAAGGTGAGTTGAGCCTAAGGGTCAAAAGAGTACGAAGGGTCAGGAGAATCCAAGATTTAAAAACCTCAGTTGAGTTCAACTGTCAGATGAATTTAAGGGCCAGTTGTGTGTAAGGGTCAGTTGAGTGTATGGGTCAGATGAATCCGAAGGCCCTATTGGGCCTGGGAGTCAGATGAATCTAAAACGAGAATAAGGGTCAAATGAGTCTGAGGGTCAGATCGATTCTGAGGGTCAGGTCAGCCAAAGGTCATCTGACTTTTGGATTGAACTGACCCTTAAACTCAACTCAGCCTTTTACTCATCTGACCATTAGATTCGCTTGACCCTTCGTACTCGTTTGACCCTTTGGCTCAACTGACTTCTAGATTCACGTGATCCTTCACATTCACCTGAACCTTAAATCCGCCTGACCCTTTGTAGTTGTTTGACCCTTAGACTCAACTGACTCTTAGTGATCGATACCGGATCTGATTTTCGCGGAATTTGCGAGCGATGGGCGAGATTCGAATGGATTTTAACGGGAGCGGGAGAAGGTCTACAAATTACTACACGTGCACGTTGGTCAACTCAGTCAATTTAATTTAAATAAAATGTTACTGTTTACACGAGCTGTCTTAATTAGAATTATCGAGATGATCAACGAAATAGCGCGGGTCATAATATTATTAAATAGTTCACAGAACTTGGAACGCAGGGCAATTATACGCGGAACTCAATACAAGCAATAGAGCAATTCTGAGAAAGCTGAAGTACATCCACTGATCTCTATATAACTGGATAGCCGATCCCTATGGCAGCCAGTGAGTTTATTAGAGAGGTACGCAGCGCCTCCGGATAGTAGTCAGCGAACTAAGATTCTCTCTAGTGTGCATGTCCGTGTCAGCTGCAGGCAGTGGGGCAGTGGTAAATTTACCGCGAGCATTGGGAAATATTATAGGATATTTGACCGTGTAGGACATCCAGAATAACAGACGAACTTTTGTTAATAATCAGTGAAAACTGACATTGTCTATAAACGCGAAAGGAAGCCGAAGCATGGAGGTATGTCGAAATTAGTACAATTGTTATTAATATTGTATTATTAATGAATTGTATAATCGTTAGTAATTGAAAAAATTGAATTTTTAAAAACTACAAGGAGTCGCCAAAGAATGTTATTAGATTTTTTTAATCGTAATTTTTTGCTAGATTTAATTGACGTTTTAGTTTTTTCAAAAGATCAATTTTGAAAAATCAGGATTTAACCCACTGTCTTATGTCAAAGTCCATAACTTTGTTGTAAATAAAGATTGAAATCGGAATTTTTTACTCAAAATATGAAAAAAAATCAAGAAATTTTTTGACACAATACAACATGAATGACCGTTTTTTAAACAATATCCATTATTTATTTATAAAACGCAGATGTTTGAAAAGAAAATAATATGCTGAAAAATGTAATTTGAATGATGCTGATTGTGTATGAATTTTTTATAAATTTTCTCACGCAATTGAATGGAAAAATTTAATAATTGAAAATCTCGACATCTATAGTGTGGTCAGTATGAACTTGTAGCCTACTGATGAGCTACTTTAAGGACATTAATGTATTCAGGAAATTGGGAAACAGAAAATAAATATTCAACTAAATTTATTCGTTCGAAATTTTTTTGTATTTATTAAACTATAATACACCTAGACTGATCGGAATTTATTGATTGAGTATACTATACTAATTTTACCTTTTTCAATTATTATTTACAATTTGGGACGGAGAATGTTTCCACGGCAATTTTCCGAGCACGTGGCCCCCACTGCGGCGCGCATGTGCACTGACGTCATCTTTAGTACCTGAGCTACTATACGGCAGCGCTGGCTGACACTTCAATTCGCCTCACTTTGAGAGTGGTGGGAGCATAGGGATCAGCTATCCAGTTAAATAGAGATGAGTGAGTACACAGTATGATGGCCGAAATGCAAATGAGGCCGATTAAAGGACTGCAAGGTGGCAGGTGTCGATCGTAGAGGGTCCAAACGTGCCCCAATTTAAATGGGGGCGTGCGCTGGACACCTGTCCATCAAGTGGCGCCTCAGGTGTCAGAGGTGAGAGGCCATTGGTCATTTAAGGCGGTTGCGCAGGTCAGTCGTGGGAAGCCATGCAAGCATGCGAGAGGAGCGAGTGTGCGTGAGTGTGCGTGTGTGTGCACTGAGAAAAAAAATTACTTTTGCCAAGGAATCATTTTCTTGGGAGAAGAATTTATTTTTTGCGGAGCGTATTTCTCCAGGCCAGTCATTATCAAGGAGTCCAAGTTCATCTCTAAATATTACAATTATGTTCAATTATG